TGTTACGGACTTCGCCAGGGCTCGATCCCTGGTCTATCTTTTGCTGTTTCGGCTGCATCCCGTTTTCGGCCTGGCACCCTTTTTCCAAACCCCTCCTTTGGCACCGTAGGATTTAGGACAACTGGCGCCATGCTGCAATTCGGGCGCCACTTTCAAATACTGCATTTTTCAGTTCTGCCCTCGGGGCCTTTGCAGAAATGCCCCTGGTACCGTACGTGTCACCGGTACTTATGCCGGCTCCCCGTACRGTACGGGGACCAGTCTCGTACCAGTCCTCTGCTGCTGTACTCGTACTCAGTGTGACTTGCTGTTTCGACATTCGGAATCCAAGACTTCGACTTTGTGCCTTGCCACGGTGTCTGCGTCCGATCCTCAGTCCCAGTCAGTCGTGTCGAGTGAGTGCGTGTGTGTGTGTGCTCTCACTCTCTCCCTCTCTCTCCTCTCCCTCGGCTCACCCTCAGCCTCACGCTCGTTACAGTATACTTTTGCAAAGATTTTTAATTGTCAGAACTTCTCAGAAAGGTATTCCGCTCTACCCACATCTTTTAGGGGCATTTTGGCATATACATCTTAACCAATGAGGGGTATAACGCCAAATTGAATTTCCCTTTTTTTTGTGATCCCCAAATTCCCACCTTCTTCTTCTTCTTCTTTTTTCTTTTCCCCCTCCTCTACGTTTACACAAACACAGTTTGAGAGAGAGGGAGAGAGAGAGAGAGAGAGAGAGAGAGAGAGAGAGAGAGAGAGAGAGAGAGAGAGAGAGAGAGAGAGACGCCAGGTGAGTAGCAGCAGACAAGCTGAACTTTCTGTTTGCGTGCGTGTGTGATAATCTTTTTTTCCCTTTTTTTTTTTCTCATTCCACTTCTGAGTACATAGCGTAGCAATCTTTTTTTGTTCCTTTCAGATTGTTTTCTTAAATTTAACTCCATCTTCTTCCCCCTCTTTTTTTTACTTCTAGAAGTAGAAAGAGACCAACAGGGTGACAAAAAAGGGGAAGGCGCGTATTGGTAGGGTACTCGTCCATTCGTGCAATCTATGCCCTCCATCAGTACGTTCAATCCGATCCATTCGCGCAATCGATCCCTTGATTCCCTTCGCTTTGCGCGATCGATCGCACCAATGGAAGGGATCGATCGCAGAAACGGGGAGAGAGAGAGAGAGAGAGAGAGAGAGAGAGAGAGAGAGAGTGAGAGAGAGAGAGAGAGAGAGAGAGAGAGAGTGAGAGCTGGACCTCCAGGCTCACCATAGCTGCCCCAGCGACTTGTGCAATGGAGCGCTGTCCAGGGCGTGTCGCTGTATTGCTGTGGGACCCTCCAAGTTCCAACACGTTATGCCCAGCGCAGAAGAGAAGCAAACAGAGCTGGAATCAGGACGTGTTCGCAGGCAGGTGCAAAAATTGTGCTGCCTGCTTCTTTTCTGCCTATCTGCACATGCTAACGTGCACTTATCGCCAAACACGTCCGGATTCAACTTCTGAGCCCATTCGCATTCGCTAGGGGAACTGCGCCATCGGGTGGTACCGGGCCCGCAACAAGGCGATCGCTTCGAATTCATGACCGTGCAGGCCCGAATGTGATGGGGAAAAAATAAAATACAAGCAAATAAACACCACCCCAAAAACAATTCCCCATCTGCTGTCAGCGGTGTGACCACGCAGATAGCAGAAGGAGCAATTTTCAGGAAGTCGCGGCAATGTCTCATTCTAGTTTTGCTGTTTTCCAACCCGTGTGTAAGTATGCGGCACACCTAAATCTCAAAATGGCGTTAACTTTGCAAAATTGCAGATTTTGCAATTTTGGTCAGATACATTTAGGAAAGTACTAGTGTGGGTATACCCTCAGAAGGGTCCCCGTTTAAATATCCAAGAGGAAGAAATGCAAGATTCTCTTGTACCTGACCAACCGGCCTTTTTTTTTCTTTTTTTTCTTTTTTTCTTTTTTTTCTTTTTTTCCCCCTTAAGGGACAACCCAAGCTGACCTAGTTCAGTTGGTACGCACCTGAAACCGTTGAAATACAGACGTAAGCTCGAATCCAGATGGAACTACCGTCTTCCCCCAAACATAACACATGCATTGTATTCGAGTTTTCTAAAAAAATCAAAAATTTGAATAGAACACATTTGCGTTGTATTAAAAAAGAAGCTCTCTTCGAATAGAAAGCAGTGTATAAGTTGTATTCCGTTACAACACGTGCGTTATGTTCGGGGGAAGACGGTAGTTGACTGAATTTCTGAATTACCTGGGGCTATTCAGTTCCACAATGATATCTGAAGGTCGTCGAAAAAGCAAAAGAAAAAGAAAAAGCGCTTGTACCAAGGACATTGCACAACAATAAATATTAAATAACATGCATAATGGTACTATTATGGTAGACTGATACACAGCATGAGGTCCAGGGAGAACTGTTGGTCCTCCATGTTATGTCTACCCTTCTGTAACACCGCGATGCTGCAACGAGATGCGGAAGATGCCATTCACTTCATAAAGCCTCTGCATTATCTGACATGTGCTGTTATTCTGACGTCATACGTCAACCAACAGACCAGAGTCGGAATTTTGAAAACACCTCGCCAAAGCACCAAAAGGTTGCAACTTGAAACACATTACCACTAACTGAAACCACTCCATCCGTGCGGCGCCGCACGTAATACACAAATCCTTCACAATTATCATGTTGAACAAACAAAAGGAGGGATCATTTTTCAGTCGGCGCTCTGAAGAAGTACGTACGTAAGATTGGTGTGAATTGCCCAGTCGTACCGCAATACCACAACTAATGTTACCTTCTTCTTCTAAAAAGACGGCGGGATGGATGCGCTGGAAAGGTCTATCTTCTTCCATAGTCACTGCGAGAAAGACGATATCATGTGTGAGTGCTGCCTACGTCCCCATAGCCTTTCTAACTGTCATCTCTGACGGAGCGCCTGCCTGGCCGCCATGCACAGCACCCCGGAAAAGCGCATATAACTCCCACAGACCCCCTGTGCCAACATGAGCCAGAAGGTACCCGAAAGGTCGGCGAGAGATTGGGCCCAGGAACTTCAGGCCCCAAAAGGCGAGGCCGAGACTGAAGAGCCATACCCGCAACTTCGGCGGGATGTAAAGAGTGCGGGGATCTTTGGGTCGATTGCCTTCCTCCGCTTCGAGTGCACCCTCGTCATCTGGAATCCCAGCGATGATACGTGCAAGTGCAACGCCGATTGCAAACCCGAGAGGAATGACGCCGATCCATCCTTGAAGCACACATTTCATTACTTCAGAAACTGTCTGCAGCGGCACTTTAATGCAGAAAAACACTTTGAAAGCGAGGGTGAGAAACTCCCATGCTGCCTGTGTAGTGATGGCGACAGCCACTGTCGAGTCGAGGCGAAATCTCAACGACTTGCTCTGCACACCATCCCGCGTCGGTTTCTCCACATTTACCACCACCTCCTCATTTTCAAACTCCGGTGGAACAAGCGGTCCAATATCCGATACCTGTTGGCTGGGCCTTGCATGATCCGTAGACGATGCCCTTGCAACAAGAGGGCGCGAAGGAGAGATTGATGTAGAGTTCTTGGGACCACCACATGGATGGCCATAGACATGTTGGAACCTGTATGACGCCCCTGAGCACGAAGACGGCTGGCATTTCCTACTGTGAGAAAGATATAGACACTGAGAAAGAGAGGATGATGAGGGAGAGGATGAGAAAACTGAGAGGGACAGCACACTAGTGGGAGCCATTTGCATTCCCCGCCGGCAGTTGAATACTTGCCAGTAAGCAGCACACAGCTACAATATCCCCCCTTCTCTCTCTCTCTCTCTCTCTCTCTCTCTCTCTCTCTCTCTCTCTCTCTCTCTCTCTCTCTCTCTCTCTCTCTC